CACTTTACGTTCTGACCCTTAAAAAAATCACCTGTTTGGCTACAGCAGTTAAAATACCAAGCTTTACAGGCTCCTGAGCACACTGAAACCATTTGTTTAGTGTGGGAGCAAAGGCGAAGGCACTCTTAACTGGTCGCAGAACATGTCAGTGGAGGTCGGCAGTCAGACGGCTGAACCTGGGACCCTAACGTGCGCATGAATACGTGGAAAATGACGACTTGCTGATTTTAGTTCAAAACTATGTGGACTTGGAAGCAATCTGATTTTCTTTCATGCATCTTTTATCTGAGGGTTGGCACGTATGTTGTGCATAGAAATGAAGAAGATGACTTGGGGCTCTCTTCTGTCGTCGCTTACGCCGTGTGTAACTCAATATTTTGTTTATTTATGGGAAAATTCTTTTCTACAGCTCCGCAAAGATTGTGCGAGAGCAAAGGAAGCACGAGGAAGGAGAGGGCCAGCCCTCTCCACCCCAAGTGAGAGCACTGAGAAAATAAAACCTGGCACACAGGCTGCGGCTGACTGAAGGCATCTTTCAGTTGTGCGTTAAAGCCAATGAATCCCTGGCCTCGTCTATCCCAGCTTCCCCTCAGCATCAGCCAGTTCACCAGAAAAGTATGGGCCATAGGAAAATAAACTATGTGTATATGAATGACTCAAATCTATCAAAAGCCAATAGCAATTAAAATGTCTCGCTCCTATCTGATTATCACAACGCATTTCTTCCCTGTCCCTTGTTGGCTTAAACTGGCCTCTTGAAAAACAGGAGAAGTTGTCAACTATTTGAGTGGGTACAAGAGATAAAACCCATCAAACCCATTTCTCCGAAATGGGTCCGAAAACCCATCAAACCCCTGAGCTCCGCGACTCCAGTATTTCAGTGAAGTTCAGATTATCCTGCTACAACGTGTCCTTTCCCGTTTGTAGCCGAGAGCAGACATCTCCTCTGTCGTGTACATTCCCTTTGTAGGGACAAGTTCTGCACTAAACATTTTATAACAGAAAAGTATGCGTAAGGTTGCCAAATTATTCCAGATGGTTAGATTATATGTCTAAGCGCAGGGCTGGGCTGGTTAAGGATCTCTGAGTGTCACTTTGCCACACTAGTAATGACGAAGGCACTCTGCAATTCCTGCCTTCTTTACGTCATTACATATAATGTTGTTTGAGGATTCAGATTCAAACTTAAGGATACAGAATGCTTTGGCTCAGTAATAAAGCTAATAGAGACAAGTCACAGATTCTCAAGTCGAGAAAGGAACATCGACTTTACAAAGGAAGAGAAATATTTGTTTAACAAAAACGCTGCCTGGAGTTTGCTTACCTGAAAGAAGCTTAGGGAATTTGATGCGATGTGCTCAAGACCATCGAGAAAATCATGACATGGCCAGAACAAGGACAAATGAGTCCCTAGGGTCAGTCCCAATCTACTTGCGTGTGCTGCTGCCTTCACTCGGAGGAGGACTATCACAAGCCACCAGCAGTCAGAAAAACATTGTTGAGCCGTTTCAGTGTTTTATGAGAAACAGG